GGGGAATTCTGGGAGTTGAAGTCCACTCATCTTAAATTGGCCAAGTTTGGACAACACTGATGTAAATAGATGTTTCTTATACAGTTCTCAGAACTGGATCACTGATTTCGTTTCTGCATAAGCCTTGGAATAGCAAACATTCCTTTTAACAGGATGATCTTGCTAAAACTTTACACTACTGAAAAATAATTGGGATACAAACCAAAGCTATTATTTATCTACAACTCAAATTACCTATTTTTACTAATTATAATCTTGTTTTACAGGCATGCCTGCTTCACTTCATATAATCTATTTAGAATGTAATACACAATAGATAATGCTAATCTTTAACATCCATATTTACTATATAAATATTATTGTTAAAATATCTCCAACATATATTACCCAATCTATGAACACATGAAATTTAAATTTTAAATACTTCTGGTGGTGACAGTACAAAACAAGAAATATAGTTATACCAACGACACAGTACTGTATATGTTTTTAGTAGATATGGTATAGTAAATATTGATAAATTTTATAGGCACAATCCCACCAAAATTAGGCACTTAGTAGAATCCTATGCATATCTATCCAAAATAAATCACTTCTAGGTAAGTGTGTAAGACTGCAGCTTAAACCCAGAAAAACAGTCTGCTAAGTATTCAAATTGCAACACAGCAGGTTGCCTGTTCTTCTGGAAGTGAATGAAAAAATACTAAATGTATCACTAATATAAGTAGGATTTAAAAGGTGCTTAACTTTGGCTGGATCATGGGATAAGCTTTTTTTTTTTTAACCCGGTATATATTTCTAAGACACATCTAGCACTTAAGGCTAATTATTGCATGTATAAAGAAGAGAGAATTATACGATTTATAACATTTTTTTTTCTTTCAAAACAGCAATGGATTTTTTTGTTTCGTTTTTACACAATAACATATTTTATAAACCTGAGGACATTAAAAAAAATTATTCTTTCTTTTAAAAACCCACTGTTTATCTCTAGAGATAAGCTGCACTTTAATATCATGCATCATAAATAAAAGAAGGCATAGGAGGCTTTAAAACTGATGAATAGGAAAACAGACGTATCTACATAATCTAGCAAGTATTATTGATAAAAAAGAATAACAAGTTCAAGCCAGTCAAAATACATCCAAACCTGTTGATCTGTGTACATGACAGAATTTCTATCAAAATCAATCCTATTATCCAGTATCAAAACAAAAAAAGTAATATTGGTACATCAATTGTTGTTTTTATTATGAACCTCAAATACTGAAGTAATTTCTCTGCAATGCTAATTTGGAAAGTAAGTACACTTTGAATGTAAATAGAGAAACGTAGATTAATCCCTAAGCAGAATGAAGATCTTCATTATTAAAATAAAGCCTGGGGCACGTTGTGACGTCTAAGATTGGTGGGTAGATTTTAATTGACTTGAGGAGTGCCATAGTTCTATTATCACAAAACCTGTAACACACTTCCAGCACAGAGGACCCATCTGTGCCTACTATCCATCTGTTTAGACGTGATTGGCAAAGTGGTAGGGAACTCGCAGTGGTCGCCTTTGCCTGAAAGGAATAAACCACAGGATCTTCCAGCGAGTGCCAAAAACTTCTGAGAAGGTCTGCTGCCATGGCTTTCGAGGTCTTGATCTACAGACGACAGCATTATTAGTGAAAGACAGCACTCCCATGGTGCACTTCAGTCAACTAGAACAATACAGATTGGCTGGAGATCCATTACTCGACTCTGATGAATTACATCTGAGTCACCATAAGCAAAGCTTTTCTTTCACTCCAGCAGGCAGCTGAGACTTTACTCTAAGAAACACAAACTGCATTTGCAGCTGTAGAACTAAGATGTTCCTCATAGTCAACACACTGTTTGCCAACAAAATGGAGCAAAACAAAACAAAACAAAACCTCTTTCTGGACCATGCTTGGAAAGCATCGTTTTGATTGCACCAGATAGAAAAGAACTTTTTTTTTAATTAAAGCACCATGTGAATCATTGTGAAAAAGGTATGCTAAGCTTTCATTAGTGCCTTTAGTGTTTCTTACACAGGCATTTTATTGCCAAGCTCCATAAAGACTTTAACAAATCAAAATGATACTCACATTTCTTCACAACAGTTGGCCAGTTTTTCTATACTTGTAATGTCCTGTTTTAAGAAAAAAAGTTCTTAAATATTTCTTCACATCATGAAAATACAAAGTATGTTATTCTGCAAAATATACAGTATATGTAGAATGCTTACAAAGAAAGAAACTTTTATGGTATATCTTTGACAACGAGGTTATTTCATTTCTGTATGTGTGTATACACACGCACACTGACACACATATACAAAGATAACAAAGATCACAATCTTTGTACAATTTTACTGCAATCTATCACTCAGCGGAAATAAGGATATTTTCTATTTAAATGTGAGTTTCCTACTCAGTCAGATGATGAAATGCGGTACTCCAACTGTCTGAATATATGAATGATTGGAACTGTGGCAAAAACAATTTCTTTCATTTATGTAGTAAATTTGTACCAAGATGGGGAGAAGTTCTTTATCAAGCTAGTGTGCCATATACTATTTTTAGCAAATATTATAATGTGAATAGTGGATTTCCTTGAGCCCTTGATTTTCTGAAATTAAGAAATACCTTAAAGTTAAACTCTGACTTAAGGGATACTTCAATTTTTTTCTTTTTTTAAAGAAACTGTCTTAATACAGCATGTAGTTCCTTTTGCGGGGTGGGTGTAATTCAGAGCTTGGTTGTGTTGAAAGAAGAGCAATCTCTTTTGGTCTCATCTTTTCTTCATTTAACTATTTGAGGTGGGACAATTAAAAATCTCTCCAATATTAAAAAATGCAGCTTAGCAACCTCAACTTGAGCAATACAACCACACCAAGGCAACTGAATTCTCTGAGTCAAGGTTGTGTCTCACCCTTCAAAGGATCCCATCAGGCAGAAGGGAAATCTGAAATTTGTTTTGAATTGGACTTTGCTAGAGATTCAGCATATAAAGTCATGAAAGTTAAATTAATGTAAGCACTTTGATTTCTTTCCATTATAATTTAAATTCAAACAACGTGAAGGCAACAGGATTCCTAAAAAAATATCCCACAATCTTGTATATGGAATATCATCTACCATCACAAACATTAGACAATTACTCTTCCTTAAAAATCCTTTTCCCTATATGGGGTCTGAAAAATTTGAACTCACACTTGAAAAATATCACCCTGTTGAAAATGAAGGATCATCAAGAGGGAAAATAAATTAAAAACAATGCAAAAGATGCCTAAAATTAATAAAATTCCTAAACAGGCTGAATATTAATAAACTTACATTTTACCATTCTTACTTTGTTTCCTTGTTTATGTGTGAGTATTTAAAGAAACAAAATTTAAGCAGACAGCGCCGATATATTTGACTCTATTTCAATTTAAATATTCATATATAGAGAGTATAAAAGCTTATAACCATATTAATACCATATTAATACCAAGGTTGTATTCTCTGTTTTCTATTTCAAGAATTTTCATCATCTGGATTTTTTTTTCAAAATCTCTACCTTTTAGCAATGGCCATTTATGCATCTGGTTGACCATGTCTGAACTTGGAAGCTGAGCAGGATAGGATTACTTTGTATTTGAATGGGAACTACTAAGATTGTAATCTAGATGGGAAGTTAAAAAAAATACACACCTCAGAATAAGGCAATGGCAAAGCACTTCTGTAATGTTGCCAAGTAAACTGCTTAGTTCTGTCCATGTAATCACAAGGAACATGATTTCAGGGCATCTTTTACTGGGTTTGCAATTCAAATATGGGCATATTCGAATTTTTGTATAAGAATCATACATACCTCAAACATCCACCCTGAAGTCAAAGTTTTCAATATCAAATGTTTAATATCCAAATTAACCCAGAGAAGAATCTTGACAGTGATACACAGAACATCTCATAAGCACCAAAACTTTTCTACTACCTCTTCAATTTAGCCCCTTCCTGTAAAAGCTATACTGGATTATCAGAAGACCTTCTGGAGTGAATGTGCAAGCAACATAATGCCAGTCATGAATAGTAAGAAACAATTCTCAAAATATGAAAATAACTTCTGCTCATGCTAAGTAGATGCTTAAGAAAATAATAGCTTTCTCAACATGTACCATCCAACTTATGAGAATAACAACATGACATCAAGTGAAATCAATTAATAAAAATAGGAATTTTAAGAAAGAATACAACTCTTCAGAATTGTACAAAAATTCAATTACACAGTAAGAAAGGTACATTCTTGTAAAATAAGGCAAATCTTCAGACTATCTCTAGATATAACACAACTGTTCTTGTAAGAAGGGACAAATACATATATCTTGCCACCCTAATCTCAGGAAGCAACAGCAGGCCTTATCTGAGCATTGATTGATTCAATACATTTCAAAAGAAATGTTTCACTTTCTGAATTGCCAACATTTCCTACGGTGTTTAAGCTTTCTCTCATAGCTGTATATCTAGCTACTGACCAGGAATGACCCTACTTAGCTCAGTACATCTGAGGAGATCACAGCTGGAGGCACCATGGCTCAGTGGCATCTCAAATAAGTAATAAAAATAGGTGTATATGAAATAACAAGAACGTTAACAAATCTGTAGTATCTGCAGGTAGGAAAAAAAATAACACATCTGAAAATTTTACCAACAGTTTCAAATTTATAGCCCACACAAACAGAAAAAGAAAGAAATCACTCCAGGACCAGCTTCCCAGACCAATTTCGACCCACCTAATATGCAGCTCCCAGGAGAAGCTGACAGGGAAGGTGGATGAAATCCCATCAATGTTTTTCTGTTGCAGGACCAATATTAGGGAATTCTTTTCCCCCTGAAATTCAATCAGTTCCTACTTTATTAGGCTTCAGGAAATTAGTTGAAATAGAATTACTTAAGAGGATCTTTGATTCTTAAATGACACCCTTTGTTTTTCTTTTTTCTATGATGTCTATCCTATACTTTTGGCTTTTTATGATTGCTTACTTAATACACTGTCCAATGGGTGCTTTAATGGCATGAGTGTCACCTGACAGGTCTCTCAATTGCAGCAGGTAAAAATAATCAACTGACCAACTTAAGTGCAAGGATAGACTACATTTTCCAAGGGAAAAAATATGAGAAAATTGTATAGATATTGGTCTAGGCTTGGGGAATATTTTAGTGGCCTAGGCTGCCACTTCTTCCTACCAGCTGGAAAGCCCATTTATTCAGCCCTGTTTGGGCTTATGGGGGCTGAGTTTAAGGGAGGAAATGAGAATGGAAGGCCTCTGGGGCAGAAGCCGCTCCCATGGCCATCTTAAGCCTGCTCAATCCTTCTCTCCCCAAGCAGTGTGAAACCATGCTGCTGAAATTCAGTGATAAAATGGTCTTTTTGGAAGTACATTTAGAAGTGAAGGCTGAAGCAGTTTGCCTTCCAGAAGCCTCCACTGCCAGTCCCTTCTAATTCTTAGAAGATTAATAGAGCACAAATGAGGTTCACTGATCACTCAGAGTATGAATTGTATTTACTTCTAAGGTATCTGAAAAATTATGCCCCGAGTGTAATCCCAGTGCAAATGACATATAATTGTGGGCAGCCTGTGGGCTGAAAATGCCCCCCATACTCCAAGATTGTACTGCCAAAATTCAGTAATAAAATGGCCAGTGTTAGACAATATGATTTTCTTTTCCTTTTTCCAAGGATAAAGGTGAGATTGGATTCACTAAGTACAACAGAGACCGCAAATGTCCCACATGCAGATCTATTCCTCTTCACTGAAAGTATAACATATTGAATAGACATTTGCACAACTCCCCTTCATTTTAATAAGAAATGTGAAAAGAAGTCTATTTTCTTTCTGAGCTTGGCTAAGTGATCCAAGAATTCCAAAAGAGTAACTCGAAAGCATCCAAAAACAATAACAAAAAGACACCACCATCTATAGCTGAGATACAATGGGCTCCACGTAATATTATTTTCAAAAATCTGTTAACTCTGTTAATCATTTGCAATAACATATGGAAAATAAAAACAGATCCTGTTTAAGATTTTAAATAAAAATAATCAAAGATAATCAAAGATAATCCATAAAATTAGGCTTCAGATTAGTCTCTTCAAAGGATACATTTCAACTAAAAACATCTGGCAGTATTATATTGAGAGACAGATCTTTTCTAACTTTGGAAATGAGATTAGTACAGTAAATCATTCATTTGTAAGTGTCCAAGTAATTTCTAATTATTTTATCTGGGTCACGGATAATCCTCTTTTACTAGCCTCCCACAATGACATCAGAGAATCACTGCTTAAGCGATTATCCTGTTATTTTCAGCAGTTACTGATAACTTGGATTTTTCATTTATACAAAAGACTCCAGGTAAATGGCTGACCAAATAAAAATTTAGTGCAAAATTTGGTTTAAAAAATTCCATTCACAATATTTCTGCCTCCAAAATTACCAGCAAATAAAAAATAAATAAAAAGTACTAAATATTTTATTCATTTTAACTAAAAAGTATATTGTATAAACCATATTCAATGCATGTTTAACATCTTAATGCATGTTTAACATGTTAAATTATCATTAACTTCAGATTAATTTCAGTTAACTTATTTATTTATTGTAAACTTCAGATAACTCAAGCTCTGATGGTGTGTGAAAGAACAGGGGAAGAAGCTAAACATACAGATTTATATTCATAAAAACAATTCAGCAGATAAGTGATTAGAACCACACTGTGATAAGCTTCGTACAAGAATTGTTGTGGAAATAAGTATACTAGGAAATTACCATTCCAGTAACAGCTCTTTAAGTCATACAATATCAAAAACGAACACATTTCAAATTTCTCACTGCTATAAGATGACAATTGAAAAATGATCCAGCCACTCCTTCAGCAAGATATTGAATACATACAGTCCAGGTCAAAGGAGCTTTACAATACTAACACCAATCACAGGAAATATGCATGTAGCTCATGAACACAGCTACTGCCAGAACCAAGTTCAGATCACAACTAGTGATCACAAATATTGTCTTGGTGTGAAAATGATTACTGTTTTATAAACATGGTGAGAACAGCCAAAAAATTTCCTACAAGTAGCAGGTATGTGATTAACAGGGAAAGG